TTCTTTATCTCCACAGCACCCTTACTTGACCACAAGACTCGTCAAATTTGTGAAGAAAGGGCTCACAAGGCTCATGCTTAGTAAGTCTCTTCTGATGGCTAAGGAAGTTTACTGGGAGAGAGCGAGGGAAAGGGAGAAACTGCCCGAAAAGAAATAAACTCTATACCTGAGCAATGCAACTGTGGCCCGAGTGTGCGTCATTTTTATAACGACTGAAAAAAATTGAAAGTGGTAACTTACGGAACAGGACCGGTACTGTGCACCTCAGCAGTCAAGAGACCCAGAACCCACTCCATAGAGGAAAGGGGGAATCGCAAATCTGAATGCTTAATAAAGGAAAACATCTTCATCTACGTACTCCAATGGAGACAAGTCTAAAGACAGCACCGACTCACTGAAAAAAAGAAACTTCTAGCTAGACAGCTGGGAGCCGGTGGCTCACGTATTCAGGAGGCTAAAATCCGAGGATAATACTTGGAAGCCCTTGAAACTCTGACCTTCACTAAAACACCGTAATAATGCTGCGGCTCAAGCAGCATATAGCACTCCCGCCGGCCTTGTGTTAAAGAGCGCCAGAACAGCGCTTTACCTCCAAGACTAGCCGAACATAAATCTTGTCTAATTCACACCAACGAGCCCTATCAATTATTATCAAGCTTTGCTGTAAAGAGACAGCAAGACAGCAGCCAACACTTAGAAACCACACATTCTTTTAAACTAAATGTAACTAAGCATAGCAGTCTACTTTTGAACGAGTCATATTTCCCCAAAAGGGGAGTGCACCGTTCCTGGAAGTACTGCAATACCAGGTCGATGCGTGGAGTGGACGGAGCAAGCTCCTATTCCAACTCCTAGTACCAAAAATCCATTTAATATATTGTCCTCGGATAGAGGACGTATCAGATATTAAACTGATAAGAACAGATACTACACTTGATCTTAGCCAAAAGGCCGAGAAGCGATAGTTGCAGGCTGTTGTTCCCGAAGGCCTTATCATTGCTACCCATTTTACAATTGTGGTGACTTACATGCGCCAGAAGTCAAATTATTCTCCAATCCTATATGTTCCTTACAGTCATATAAGAATTATCTTTTCTTTGTAATAAAGCTTTCTTTATAGAGAAATCATGGAATATAGCCCTTTTCTATTTGGTGTGCCTGATCAGGGCTTATGTATTTTGCATAATCCCGCCCCCTTCCCGGCTATTTGGAATCCTGTGGTTGGTTGCGCTTACTACCGCGATCTCAGTGCCCACAAGCCTCGTTTTCTCGCTGCTTGTGGCGTTAGTATCCCATCCTGGAGGGTTTAGCGTTGGGGGAAGAGGGAGATGTAGTACTGTGCTGCCCTGTGGGTTGGTCTCAGAGAGTGGCCTTTAAGATTCTCTCCCCTCTGCATGGGGGGGGGGGGGCTCGGAGGACCCCATAGCCTGGCAGCCACTACCTCACCCCCATACACACACAGACCACACTTGCTGTCTGTGCCACCCCGCACCACAGGAGGGAAATAACCTGAGAAAAATATTTCTGGGTTTCTGGGTCCCTTGAGTAGGGACCAGTGCTGCCAGGAGCGAAGCTTCACCTAACGTTCCATTAACCAGGGACAGGTTTCGCTGGACAGCTCCACACCCCAATGCCCTTCTGAGCCACAGCTTCACGCTTTTTGATAAAAGAATCTGACGAGGCTGGGAATGTGGTTTAGTGGTACAGTGCTTGCCTCACTTGCATGAAGCCCTGGGTTCGATTCCTTAGTACCACATAAACAAGCTGGGAGTGGCTCTGTGGCTCAAGTGGTAGTGCTAGCCTTGGGCAAGAGGTCAGGGACAGTGCCCAGGCAGCACTCAAGCCCAAGTACTGGCAAACTTGAAAACAAACCTCAAAATAGCTGGGGCGACGCTCCCGCCGGGCCAGCCACATCCCCCGATCTTCAGGCCGCGGCCCCGGGTGGGGACCCACAGTCTTCTTCATGACTGTCGGCACCCGCAGCCCTGTCCTGCAGGGAGATCCACTGCGACATGGCTGCCACTGGAGCCCAGGCCGGGAGCAGCCGCGTGGGGCCCAGCGGGCTGCGGGGTGGCTTGTCACTGACAATTCAAGAGTCCTGTGGTTTACTTAGTGGGCTCAGCAATGTTCTACATCGACACGTGGAAAAGATAATGAATGAATGCTGGCTGCGGCCTCTCTGAGAAGACCTGTGTGGATACACAGCCTGATCCATCCTGGAATAGCCTGGGCTCGGTGGACACAGGCAAGACGCCATGACCAGCTGGAACAGCCTCTTCACAAACCTTCCTGAGTCACTTTCCCCACTGAGTTTTCAAGGGACGTCTTGGCTGTTCCAAGCACAGGTGACCCAAGCGCTAGGATCCTGCAATCCAGCATCAGCAGCATAGAGGCTCACCAGCTTCAGAACGTCATATCTCTGTTTCATGTCCTAATTTCCCCACTGGTCCCAGGAGGTGGAGAGCTGAAGCTGAGGATGCCAGACAGACGCAAGTGACCACCTGGCCATGGCTACCGCTTGTGAAGGGCCCTACTTCCCATAAAACCCTTTGCGTGAACTTGGGGGAGGCACTGTGGTCTGGAGAGCATGTGGAAAGAGTGGAACACTTGTGTGATATTTCTGTAGTGTGCCTCTGATACATCACCGCAGACTGGGTGGTTTAGAGATCTGTGTTCACAGCTCTGAAGTCCAGCAACATGGAATCAGTGTCTTCTGGGCCACATTCCCTCAGGAGGTACAAGGCACGGTGAGTTCTAGGTCTTCTCTCAGCTTCTAAACCTGTGAGAGCAGAGTGAAGTCTCTACAGAGGATCATCCCTTGGTGCATTTCCGGGACCCAATTTCCCCCTTTTAGGGGCACAATAACAACTGGAATTGGCGTTGATCTCCTGCCAAGAGCCCATTTCCATGTAAGGTCACATTCACAGATACTGGGTGATGAGAGCGTCCATATATGAAATTTGGGAACACAACCCATTACAATATTCCTGCCTCTGGGCTGGGAAGGTGGCTCAGTGGTAGAGCGCTTGCCTTGCATGCATGAGGCCCTGGGTTCAATTCCTCAGCACCACATAAGGAAAAAGCAAAAAGCTAGAAGTGGCGCTGTGGCTCAAGTGGTACAGTGCTTGCCTTGAGCTGAAGAGCTGAGGGACAGCGTACAGGCCGAGTTCAGGCCCCACGACCAGAACAAAAAACAATGTTCCTGCCTCTGCCCACAGCCTCTACCTCCCTATTGGTCTTGTGGCTCCTCTGGGCCCTATCTCCTTCCTGGCACCAGCAGATCACTGCTGGCCCTGACTGCTGGGCCTGAGCTAACACTGAGAATTCAGTGAGAGCTGGTGTAGGGGTGAAGGGTCTCCTAGACTGTTATGGTCCCAGACTGTGTGAGGAAAATTAAGCCGAGAAAGTGATCCTTTACTAAAAACAAAGAGAGGCCATAGAGACTTTAAAACATTTCACATGGACTTCAGCCCTATCTCATTCCCTGCCCAATTAGAATGGCGCCTGCTGTGTGATGTTGTGCATCCCACCCTGTGATCGATTGCCTCCTGCTTCAAGGGAGTCGATGCCTCACTGTGCACATTGTGTATCCTCCTGTAGCTATCTTTGTAATAAAGCTTCTGTAGCTGTCTTTATTTTTTATTTTTTTGGGGGGCCTGGGCACTGCCCCTCAGCTCTTCAACTCAAGGCTAGCGCTCTACCACTTGAGCCACAGCGCCACTTCCAGCTTTTTTTTTTTTTTTTTTGGCTTATGCTGTGCTGAGGAATGGAACCCAGGGCATCAGGCATGCAAGGAAAGCGCTCTACCACTGAGCCACCTTCCCAGCCCCCTGTAGCTATCTTTGTAACAACCCATAGTTTCAAGGATGCAGGGGCATATGACATTGTTTCTGGAATATACAAACCCCAAGAATAGGAATATCCAGCTGTGTAGAGCACATGGACAGCAAATACGGCGCTGAGGGAGTTGAGTGGGCAGAGCCCAATTTGCTTAACGTTCAGTGTGTAACCAGCCCATGGAAGCTTAGATGCATGATAGGATGTGACCTTGACAGTGATTCGCTCCTCTTCCTTCCCTGCCATGCTACCCGATCTTTTTTGCTTTAAAAAGGGCTGCTCTGGGGCTGGGAAGGTGGCTCAGTGGTAGATTGCTTGCCTTGCATGCCTGAGGCTCTGGGTTCAATTCCTCAGCACCACAAGCAAGCAAGAAAGAAAAAGCCGGAAGTGGCGCTGTGGCTCAAGTGGTAAAGTGCTAGCCTTGAGCTGAGGGACAGCGCCCAGGCCCAGAGTTCAGGCCCCACGACCGGACCCCCAAAACAAAAGCTGGAGCTGTGACTCAAGCGGTAGTGTGAAAGGAAAACAGCACCAAGCCCCCAGACCTTAATTTGGCTGGCTTTTATTTTGGGGGGTCCGGTTGTGGGGCTTGGGCACTGTCCCTCAGCTCTTCAGCTCAAGGCTAGCACTCTACCACTTGAGCCACAGCGCCACTTCCGGCTTTTTTTACTTATGTGCTGAGGCATCGACCCCAGGGCCTCATGCATACAAGGCAAGCACTCTACCACTGAGCCACCTTCCCAGCCCCTTGGCTGGCTTTTAAAGTAATTTTTCACCTGGGATGCACCTTTACCAGCCTTTGCACATGTCAACCATTAAGCCTGAGGTTGTCATTCCCCCATTGTTTACATTTCGATGTAGAAAACCTATTTCCTTCAATCGTTGCTAATCTACCTGCCAGTCATAGATCTTGAACTCTCAGCCTGGGCACTGAGCATTTCGGCTCAAGGGAAGCACTCTACCACTTGAGCAGGTGCCACTTCATTTTCTGGTTTATTTATTGAAGATCAGTCTGACTTTGCTACCCAGGCTGGCTTTAAACTAGTCTTCAGATCTCAGTCTCCTGAGTAGTAGCTAGCCTTATTTGTGTGTCTAAACTTGTGTGTCTAAAGGTCAAGTTCCTAACAGACTCTGGACCATGTGAAACAGAACCACATGTAAGCAAATCACAATAGAAATGCAACTTTATTAAGGAAATGAGAATGAAGCAAGTTGAAACTGCATTGGAAAACAGTCTGAAATCTTCCTTTAGTATTCTCCAAAGCTTGAGGCTCCTGCAGAGAAAAGTTAAGTGTTAGAAGAGCATTCTGTTCTAAACATTGAGACCAAATAAACCCAAACAGTAAAAATTTACCTATTCACATGGTCTCATCCTTCAGATCTGGGGAAAAAAAAAAACAAAAACATGTCTTAGTACCATTTTGTTTTATTACCCCCTCTTGTAGGAGTCTTGATATCCCTCAGACAGTTCCTTCTGGAACAATTTTCCTCTTTTCCCCCAGCCAGCCCCAGTGGGTTCACCTTTACAGGCTCTGAGGCGAGGACAGGAAGTAAGACACGTGCGTATTTCTTCATTGGGAAATCTTAATTGTCAAACTTCATAGAAGTAAATTTACTTACCAATGATAGCAACCTACAGTTGAGCAGGCAACATGTTTAACTCCCCTGCAAAGGCAGATATTGGAAGCTTATTTTTGTGGTTGAGGAGGGAAAGGGCAATTTGCTTAGGATGCTTCAACATATTTTTCTAGTCATGAGGCTTGAACTCTGGGTCTGGGTGCTGTCCCTCAGGTCTTCAGCTCAAGGCAAGCACTCTAGTACTTGAGCCAGAGCTACTACTTATGGTTTCTTGCATGGGCTGCTTTAAACCAAGATCCTCAGCCTGAGTAGCTAGGATTGTAGGTGTGAACTATTGACACCCAGCTTCAACAATCGAGCCTGTTTTTTTTACTCGAATCGCAAAGATAAGCTCACAACTCAGAATATACCTTTCAGTCACAGTGATCAGACTGGGGCGGTATTCAACTCATCACTGTGAGCAGGAACCTATCAGCATTTGCTGAGCATGTGGCTCTTCACAATCACAGGCATGGTAACTATAAATACTCTAAAGACATACCTCATCATTCCCAGCCTCTGCGTAAATCCGGTTCTGAAACAAAAAGACTTAAATCAATAAATACAGAACATATTCAATTGCATACTTACAACCCTCCCCAGAATATCAGATTTCCAAGTCTCAACAGCAAGGCATCAGCCGAACGAGATTCCATTAAGGAAGTCATCATGCACAGGCCTGAAAAGGCCCTATTCTGCCTAATGAGGCAAATGTACACATACTGACAGTCACTCACCTTGAAATCAGCAGTCATCTCTGGTAAACAACCTGGAAAAAGACAAACTCATGTATAAAAGTCCTTTTGTACATGGCTCCCCTGTCTCATCTTTTGTTTCTCAGGTGTTCATGTGTTTTCATTAGCAGTCATAGTGAGCTAGTTTGATTCATCATAGAAACTAGGTAATTTACTTGATGAGGAAAAAGAACCAAACTTACCTCTATTACCAGAGGCATCTGGATTGTTCTATTTTATACAGGAACAAGATGAAGCTCCTAAATAAAAGAAAAAAAAAATCAGCAAGCCCTACCTCAAACAAAACCTTTCTTAGCTACCACTGGAAATAGATTGGGAAAGTATGCAGGGTCTTTGCTGTGTTTCAGTTTTAACAGCTGCCAGGGATTTGCTAACATCCAGTTACTCCCTGCATAAAGGGCCCATATAAATTTTCACAGCACAACATACCTTAAGATGGAGAAAATTATCACAAAGACCTGGAAAAAGAGAAACAGGTTGCTTCCATGTTTGAGACTGAATAAATTTCTTCATCAGTAACCACTGCCATCAGAACTCTAACATGCTATTTAATTGTTGTGCCTCACTGAGGATCAGCCTGTTAATTCAAATCATCTGACAGTTATGTGGACCAAGCAGATTCTCTAAGAACTGAACCATACTTAGGGTTTCCATTTCCCCCAGTCTTCATTCAAGGGAGTAAGAAGCAAAAAGGAAACTGCTTCTACTGTTCTCTCCCCTCATGATGTCTGTAAAGATAACCCAGGGCCATTTCTTGAGAATTACCTGTATTCATCCTGGAAGATACAGGAACACTTCAGGATAGGTAACCAGATGCTGCAGACAGATAAGGGAGCCAAGGTTGGTAATTGGTAGCCTTTTAAATAACACCTATGTACCACTGAGCCCTTTTTCTCAGTAGTAAGATGACATCACTTAAAACTCAGCCATATGCTTGTCATTTTACATTCATCACAGAATGGCCATCCAGAAAACGCCCCCCTCCCCACCCTATCTACTACTCACCTGAAGCATTACTGCACTGATGGGACTGTATGGCGGCCCTTGTCTCATCCTAGCCAGCTCCTTTAAGCAGGACCACAGCTGAAAAATACAAACCGCATTCCGTTACCCTGTTGGGTCAATTAAATCAGCCTTCACAGATGACGTTTTCGGTCAATAGTGCTACTCAGGATCTTTGTCCTTTCTCCACTAAGCCATCAGAAAGAGAGAGTTCAACTAAAAGAAATCATCAATGTAGCACATGCCCTAGGAAACTCTACAGAAATTCTGCATTCAACGAAAAAACGTTCAGCATATCGACAGGTACTTACTACGAGAACACTGCCCGGTTCCTTGTGCGCTCAGATGCCTCAACCCTGCAAAAGACACTTTATCTTAGCACCATTTTCAAGTCTCAACGAGGCAGTGAGGGGCACGTGTTGGGTAGGGCCGTCTCCTCAGAGTTCAGTTTCCTCACGGAGCTCAGCACAGGTCTGTGAAGTGTTTTCATCACAGAGAGGCCCCATGCGCGGCCCGCCGCCGCCGTGGTGTTCTCATCTCCCACCGCCCCCCCGAGGCTGCCGGTTTAATGCCCCGGCCTCGCCCCGGCCACCTAGCAGGTACTAAAGACCGGCGCGGGCGACTCGCGCCTGTAACCCTAGCTGTTCAGGAAGGCGAGGTCTGAGGATCGTTGATCGATGTCAGCCTAGGCATGAGGCCTCAGACACTAACCTCCAACTGACCATCCAAAAGCCAATAGCGGGGCTGTGGTTCAGGCAGGACTGTGCCAGCCCTGGGCGGAAAACCAAGAGTGCTGGGCCCAGGTCCCGAGAACAAGCTCCAGGACCAGCGCACAGACACAAGAAAAAGCACCAGCGAGCGCCAGCTCACGCGGTCTTCTAAAAACGAGAAAATCTCACGCAGAAAACAAAGGCCAACGAGGAAAACCCAGTTACCGAGAGCAAGCTACCAGCCACACTCACCGAGATCAGCGACAAACGAGACCGAGGGCCGCGAAGGGAGAACCTTAAATAGTGTCCCGCAGAGGCTGACGGGACTTGAGGGCGGGACTGTGGCGGGCGCACGCGCATCTGGACTTGACTGAGGCAGCCGCGGGAATTGTGGGTCAGCAATTCCAGCCAGGACCGGTGTGGGGAGCTCCGCCCCTTCACTTGCGGCGCCAAAGTGGCGTGCTTGCGTCTTAGGGAGTGCGCAGGCGCGCTGCCCAGGGCGATGCGGCAGGACGTCGTCCACCCGGTGCAGTGAACACGGCCGCCCTGCGCCTCCGGGTTCGCGCTCGCCCAGAGCCCACCGCCACGTTTGCCAATCCTTGATCCCGTCCCGGTCTCCCCTTGCCCTTAACTGATCCACACTCCGCCTGTGCGCTATGGATCCCCAGCCGCCGGAAGCCTCGGCCGGCGTCGTCTCGGTTCCACACCTGCCGCCTGGCGCACATTCGGGGCCTGATGCGCAGGCTCTCAACGCAGGGGGCGACTCAGGTACGGGGGCCCCGGGCCGAGCTCGGGGGGAGGTCCCCTCTGCATGGAGTCCCGCGGGGAACGTAAAATACTCCCCGTAATCCGCGAAGCCGTCCCGTGTTTTCCTGTCTGGCCACCCGCGTCTTGCTGTCGGGTCCCATTTTTCTAGGCCTGTAGTAAGGCCCACGTCACTTGACACTTATAAAGCCTGTATGTTACTGTGCTCCACTACTGAGATAGGCCCCCTAACCAGGAGCACCATTTTAAACCACAGTTCATTTGCTTTAATCCTCAGAAATCTTGCCCAAGAAGTAGGGACAGTGACATCTCTATAGATGAGAGTTTAGGAATAAAGAACTCCCTGGGGACTGGGAATGTGGCTTAGTGGTAGAATGCAAGCCTGGCATACATGAAGCCCTGGGTTCGATTCCTCAGTACCACATAAACAGAAGAAAAAAAAAGCCGAAAGTGGGTGCTGTGGCTCAACTGATAGAGTGCTAAGCTTGAGCAAAAGAACCTCAGGGACAGTACCCAGGCTCTGAGTTCAAGCCCCAGAACGGGCAAAAAAATAAAGAACTCCCTGAGTGGTTCAGTGGTAGAGTGCCTGCCTACCATGCATGAAGCACTAGGTTCCATTCCTCAGTACCACATAAACAGCAAAAGCCGAAGTGGTGCTGTGGCTCAAGTAGTAGAGCATGAGCCTTGAGCACTGAAAGGCACAGGGACAGAGCCCAGGCCCTGAGTTCAAGCCACAGGACCAGCAAAAAACAAAACAACTTCCCCCCCCCAAAAAAAAAAATTCCCTTAGAGCTTTTTACTGTTCTTTAGGTGATTGGCTGAGGTTACAGCTACTGAAAAACCTTTTAATCAGCCAGGCACCTATGGCTTGCACTTGTAATCCTAGATATTCAGGAGTCTGCGATCTGAGGATCTCTGTTCAAAGCTAGCCAGAGCAGGAAAGTCTGGGAGACTCTTATCTCCAATTAACCACCAGAAAACCAGAAGTAGCGCTGTGGCTCAAGTGGTAGAGCACTAGCCTTGAGCTGAAGAGCTGAGGGACAGCACCCGGGCCCAGAGTTCAAGCCTCGTGATGGACAAAATAGAACAACAACAAAAACATCTCCACCTGCAGGGTCTAATGGTACTGCTTACCCTAGGAGGAAGGTTTTAAGGTGGTTATGTGTTCAGAGAGGAATCTGGGGACGTTAAGTAATTTGCTGTTACCTATATATAGCTGATTCCAGGTTTGGAGCCCAACCAGGCAAATTGGGAGCATATACAAATTTGGGAGTTTGTACTGACAGCCACTATACTGCTTCTCTTCAGGTTGCTGGGGAGCAAGCAAGTATACGGGAAACAAATGAAACAGTCTTAATCCTTGCATGCTGTTTCTCAATTTTTTTCATTGGCACTGTCTTGTGCACCAAGTTAAAAAGGACATTTCCTTACAGTGCCTCTACAATAGTGTGTGTGTGTGTGTGTGTGTGTGTGTGTGTGTGTGTGTGTGTGTGTGTGTGTGTGTGTTGGGGCTTCAATTCAGGGTTTGGGCATTGTCCCTTAGCTTTTTTTTTTTTTTTTTTTTTGTCGGTCGTGGGACTTGAACTCTGGGCTTGGGCGCTGTCCCTCAGCTCTACCACTTCAGCCACAGTGCCACTTCCGGTTTTCTAGTGGTTTATTGGAGATAAGAGTTTCATGGATATTTCTGCCCGGGCTGTCTTTGAACCTCAATCCTCAAATCTCAGCCTCCTGAGTAGCTAGGATTACAGGCATGAGCCACTGGCGCTCGGCTTGTCCCTTAGCTTTTTAACTCAAAGTTGGCACTCTACCAATTGATCCACAGCTCCACTTCTGGCTTTTTGGTGGTAATTGGAGATAAGAAGCTCATAGATTTTCCTGCCTGGGCTGGCTTGGAGCCCTGATCCACAGTTCTTCCCCTGAACTAAATCCCATGTTTTCATTGTAACATTTATATATATACATACACACACAATGTACCCTATCAACCTCACTCCCTCTATCACTCTCCCTTTCTCCTTAAAACAATTTCAACAGATTTAATTTTTCTTTTTTTTCAGATTTAATTTTTCTATTTTCATACAAACACACAAAGTACTTGAACCATGTTCACCATCACCCATGAAATTTTAATGCTAATATGCCATATATCTATGTATGCAATTGGCCAGAAACCTTTTTGGTATTCCTTAGCTAGTTTTCACTCCTTTGGAGCCAGTAATGTTCCCAAACATGCCCCAGGATAGCTTAATAAGTAACGCTGTACACAAATACCGAGAAATTTTCAGTTTGAATTAAGTTATGGAGTAGAATAAATACATTTATTCAATATCTATGAAGTGTTTATTCTGTGCATGATGCAACCTGGGGGAGGGGAGAGATGAGTCACTCTGTTCTCAAGGGAATTTTGGTCTGGTAAGAGAACTAAAATGTGCAAATATGTATCCAAATAGCCTAAGTAAGCATGTGATTGAAAAGTTGTAGTCGCTGGGGCACTGGTGTCTCATGCCTGCAGTCCTAGCCAACCAGGAGGCTGAGATCTGATGATCATGGTTTCAAGGCCAGCAGAAATCACTAAAAGCCAGAAATGGAGATGTGGCTCAAGTAGTAGAGTGGTAGCTAAACTTGACACAAAAGCTCAGGACAGTACCTAGGCCCTGAGTTCAAGCCCTAGGACTGGCACCCACAAAAAAAAAAAACTAGGGGAAGGCCAGATTGGTTGGCATGGGAGGTGGAGCTCAAATATACAACCTAATTTGAATTGTAGAGGTGAGAAAGAAGTCAGTAGCCAGCTCAGGCAGGAAAGTCCATGAGACTTATCTCCACCAGAAAACTAGAAGTGGCACTGTGGCTCAAAGTGGCAGAGTGCTAACCTTGAGCAAAAGAAGCTCAGGAACAGCTCCCAGACCCTCAATTCAAGCCCCATGATTATCTGGGGGAAAAAAAAGTGAAAAATTTTGTTTTTGTTTTGGGGCTTGAATTCAGGGCCTAGGTGATATTCCTAAGCTTTAAGTAGTTCATTGGAGAGGAGTCTCATGGACTTTCCTGCCTGGGCTGGCTTTGAACCACTATCCTCAGATCTCAGCTTCCTGAATAGCTAGGATTATAGGTATGAGCCACCAGCACCTGGCAACAATTTTAAATGTTTTTACTTTCTTCATTGTAAGTTGAATAAAGTCACTGACATGTGTTTGTTTTGTATTTGTATTAGTCATGTCTCATCTTTTAAAATTACATTTTAACAACCTCATTTGGACACTACTATTCATTGAGTCATTTATTCATTCAGACAATGTTAGGATTTAAACTCAAGAAGTCTTGACTCCAGGGGCTGGGAAGGTGGCTCAGTGGTAGAGTGCTTGCCTTGCATGCATGAAGCCCTGGGTTCAGTTCCTCAGCACCACGTAAGCAGAAAGAAAAAAGCTGGAAGTGGCACTGTGGCTCAAGTGGTAGAGCGCTAGCCTTGAGCTGAAGAGCTGAGGAACAGCGCCCAGGCCCAGAGTTCAGGCCCCATGACTGGACTCAAAAAAAAAGAGGGGGGGGGGCTGGGAAGGTGGCTCAGTGGTAGAGCGCATGCCTTGCATGCCAGAGGCCCTAGGTTCGATTCCTCAGTACCACATAAGCAGAAAAAAAAAGCCGGAAGTGGCGCTGTGGCTTAAGTGGTAGAGTGCTAGCCTTTAGTTGAAGAGCTGAGGGACAGCGCCCAGGCCCAGAGTTCAGGCCCCAAGACCGGACCCCTCCCCCACCCCCCAAAAAAAAAAGAATCTCAGGGACTTTCCTGCTTGGGCTGGCTTTGAACCTCATTCCTCACCTCTCAGCCTACTGAGTAGTTAGGATCACAAGCATGAGCCACCAGTATAAAGCACCAAAGCCGGGTGCTGGTGGCTCACGCCTGTAATCCTAGCTACTCAGGAGGCTGAGATCTGAGGATCGCGGTTCAAAGCCATCCCGGGCAGGAGAGACTGTGAGACTCCTATCTCCAGTAAACCACCAGAAAACCGGAAGTGGCGCTGTAGCTCAAGTGGTAGAGTGCTTGCCTTGAGCTGAAGAGCTGAGGGACAGCGCCTAGGCCCAAGAGTTCAAGCCCCACGGCCGACCAAAAAAAAAAAAAGCACCAAAATCTTTATTAAATCCCAGTTCACTTTTGGCCCAGTTCACATTTTTGGGGGTGTGGAGCTTTTAATGGAATGTTATGCTCCTTGTGGCAGGTGCTGTACATGCCATTGGTCCTATTGGCTTTTTTTTTTTTTTTTAATTTTATTTTATTTGTGAACATACTGTACAGAGGGGTTACAATTACATGGGCAGGATAATGAGTACATTTCTTACCAAGCATTGCAGCCTCCTCCTTTGGTTTACCCTTCACATCCCTTCCCAGCCTCCCCCCTCCCCCCCAATCCCAATCCTTCTCCCCCCCCCCCCCTGCACCGACGTTGTAAAGCTCGTTTTGGACATGACAACTTGTACTTTTCATTGTTGCAACA